ACAGGAGACTTAAAAAAATTCTAGTGATAAAAAAAGAAATGCACCTGTTGGATTTCTGTCTGTCAAACACCTTTGTGAAGTATACGAGAAGATCTTGGCCAACTGGTCCATTAGCCCCAACTTCTTATGGTGTGTTTTGCTGTCCCAGCACAACCCCTCTTATCTCCAGTTCTTCTCTTTACCTGCACATTGTATGGGCTTACTCCATTTTCCATGTTTCATTGCTGTTTTTAAATCATGGTTGCATGACCCAATCCAATAAGACAACTAATGAAAATTCTAAAATATCAAAAAGAAACATATTAAAGAGCCAGAAATGAAATTAATAACCGGAGCAGCAGATTAAAGAGTAGTTGCCTGCTGGAAGAGGAAGGCCCTTGCCTGGTATCTAACTGTATGGGGAGGATGTGAGATGGATCTCCCTGGAAAAGGTGTTTCACAGGTGGAGGCGTCACAGAGAAGGCTCTTTCCATACTAGCCACTCATCACACCATAATGGTTGGTGGGACCTAGAGAAGGTTCTCCAAAGACACTCCCGTAGGAACATACGGACAAGGCATTCCAAGAGTTTAGAAGGGCACTTGTTCCTTTAGAGTGTAATTGTATGGTCCCTAGATAGCATCTAACAGTGGTCCATGCTCCTTGGCTCTTAGTCATGCTGGCCACATGACCAGGGAAACTCTGTGGACAAACACCAGCTCCCTTGGCTAAAAAACAGAGATGAGCACTGCCCCCTAGAGTCGGACACGACCGGACTTAATGTCAAGGGGAGACCTTAACCTTTACATTTTTTAGACAGCATCTAGGGTTAACCTTCAGATACCTCGCTCCAAGGTTGGAAGCAAAGTGCCATCCTTGGAAATGGAGATCCTGACTTCAATTCTCTTCTCCCCCATACCTTGCAGTCTGTGCAGAAAGAACCTTCCTGACTGCTTTATGAAAGTCAGAAAATGACCTTGTAGAAGAGAGAGAGTGGCAGGATGCAGGCACCTGGGGATGCTTGAATACAAGGCATCCTCAGCACTTCAGCCTTCCTCCCTCTCCAAGCATCTCAGCTAGATGGCCAGTTATATCTGACTCTATGCCCTTTGTCTGCCTGGAATGAGAACTTCTCTGAAATTGAATGACCCTCCTAACCCAGCCTGAGAGGCAGAGTTGCCCTCTTCTTTCCTCTGTAAGAAGTTCTGTGCGGCATGCAGAAATCTAAAGATGATTTTTTTCCCCAGTAAGGTGATGGAAGCTATTGAGGAATTGTCATCCTGCTGAATTTCTACCTACTCTACCACAGTCAAAGCCGTAGGCTCCCTGCCAAAAACAGAGTTGGCAACAGGTCCATTGTAGAGGTCCATTCTTCTCACCCCCGCCAAAGAGCCCATTTCCCACATCTTTCTCAAGCTCACCTATACTGCAGAAACGCCTCTCCCTGTTATTAGTATCACCCCTGCATCCTCCTGCTATGGTCCCCCCCACACATTGCTTGTTCTTCTTTACAATCATGCCACAGCAAAAAAAAAAAATAGCTATTTGGGCATGGGGAGGTACCCTTCCTCATTCCTCATACCCCTAGCTGCACTAAGGACAGTCACTGGAAAAGCCAACTGGGCAAAGGTCCTAGTGATACTTAAAGGCATTTAATTCGGAGCAAGGATGAGGACGTTTGGCCTGTTTTCCTGAAGCCCTCTGCAAGTAATCAGTTCAGGTCTTTTGCAAGAATTATCTGCTTCTCTTGTGGCAGCACACAAGAGGGAAGGAGTGACCCTACCCACTGGTGGTTTTAACTCCACCCACTACTCATGACTTACCCCAAACAAATTACTCCTCTCCACATACACAGGGAATCTGACCCGCTTCAGCAAAAAAGGCTCTCTGCCTTTGATTGAGAGAATATAAGTAGCAAAGAGGAGGGTACACATTTGCTGTCACTGCCCTGCCCCGTTGCCCAGTTAGTCACAGGCTCTTCCAGCTTTTAAAATCTGCCATTTCGCTGCAGAGGTGATTCATTGAAATCGTCAGCTGATTTAAGTCAGCTTTCCTTTTTTCACAAAGGAAGCAGATTGCTCCCATGCCAGTGAGGCCGTACATCCTTGCCAGGTTTTAGTCTGAACTCTAAGGGAGTTCTCCGTGCTGCTGAACCCTAGCCCAGATATAGCTTCAGCACCGTGGATAGCTCCTTAAAAGTTCAGAGGGCAGTTCGGCATGGGTACATTGCCCCAGTGGCACTGGAAGTACCAGCCTCCACTGAGTTTGTGTGTGTGTGTGTGGCCAGATCTCATTGGCTTCTATAACATTTAAAATATACTGGCTTGTCACAGAATTTATGCTACATGGGCCTAATGCATACTTCAATTGGTGTAGCCATAGAACTTTTTGCAGTACCGAATTCTATCATCTTAAAGATGAATGAGGTCCAAAGAGAAACTTTATGTAAGAGTTTCACATTTAGCTGCGAAAATACATTATTTTGTTTGTCTCCCTATGCATACTTACAGGGATATCAAGCAAGATCACGTGCTTGAAAACTAAAGCTGTAAAAATGCTTTGCCACTTTCCTGGGAATAAACCCCAGTAAATTCAGTGGGGCTCAGTAAAGCTGGCTTGGATTATGGTGTATATACCGAGTACTTTCCAGAATAAGCTAGCAGTTTAGAACAGAACGAGGTTTCCCCAGTGAGATCAAAAGTAAACGTACGTCTTGTTTGGTTAGTAGGACTGTAAATATTCATCAGCTGAGAAGTGAAAGTACTTTGATTGCAGAGTCCAAATGGCTGGAGAACTTCACAGCAGAAGTGCAAGATTATGCAGGTCAATAGAGTCAGTGTATGAAATTTTACTGTTTCCAGATGCAAAGGAAGGCAGGTCTCTTGCACCCTACCAGTTAAGTATTTGCTTCCTGAAATTCTGGCTTCTGCACAACTCTTAAAGGTGCAGAAGCCTGTTCTCTTTTGTACCTGGACATCCTAATTGTAGTGTTTGTGGTAACATGACACATTTTAAAACATATGATTTGATATTGAGTCAAACAATGGGCCTGGGGTGGGGAAGCTCAGGGTTGAGGCCAAATCTGGCCTGCCAGGGTGCCAAATGCATTCTCCAGGCTTTCTTAGAACTTGGTATCTCCCTCTCCTGGCTACACTGCCTTTCTCCTTTCCCCCAAAATCATGTTGTGGCTTTCCAGCTTTTGCATTTTTTAAATCATCCTAAATAGGTTGAGATGCTCCTCCAAAGGCAGTAAGAGAAAATGTGCCAAAATTTTGGCCCCACCCATTTTGTCTTTGGGCCTTCCCAGCACTGAAGGATGCCCCCACCCCTGTCTCTGGCATCCTTCAGGCTTAAAAGGGTTCCCACCACTGCAACTGGCCCTTCCAGTAGAGCCTCCCATGAATGGAGGCAGCTCTCCAGGGTTTCTGGCAGAGGTGGATTCTTGTTTCCCCTTGTCCTGCGATGTGTGCCACGCCAGATGTTTTGGCCTTCAGCCTTCATCAGACTTAGTAATGTTGCCAGCGGTGAGAGGCAATGGGAATGGTAGGCCAAAACATCTGGAGGGGCACAAGTTGCCCATCTCTGCTTTAAAGGCAATGTTGTGGCTCTGTGCACAAGAATAATCAGCAATGACAATAGATCCTTAGGCCAAGCAAACACTGGAGAATGTGCATGCCTCCATTTCAGTACAGACATGCAGCAAAGTCCAGGACATATTCAGGTCACGGGGCTTTGCTGAAACTAAAGAAGTTTAGGCCTCTACTGTACCTCAGTGAGATTCTTTCTATAAACTACCAATTTTTCCATCTATAAGACGCCCCCATGTATAGGATGCCCCCCCTTTTCTTACTGATCTCTGAGAGAGCAAGCTGCTGCTGCATGCGCCTGCCGCATCACCGCCTCCCTGCGCCTGCACCAGTCTCCCTCCTGAGCACGCCTGTGATCGCACCAGTCTCCCCCCCCCCCGAGCACACCCACAGTTCTCCTCTCAGCCCCCAGTGTATAAGATGCCCCTCCATTTTTAGGTAAATATTTTTAAGAAAACGTATCATCTTATACACAGGAAAATATGGTATATGAAAGGTGACTTTAGCTCCTTGCGGGAAAAGTGGCATATAAATGTACTCTACCAGGAGCATGCTTAATTCTTGCCTGCAAAACATGTTCCTGGAGAAAGGGACTTTTAGGGGACACAACATTCTCCTCTGAATTCAAATCTGTCTCTTTGAGGCTTCTGTTTGCGGTTACTGTGTTCCTCCCTTGTTCCCTCAGCACCCGATATTCCTTCAGCAACATCGTTTTCTCCATCGCTCTGTAATCCCAACCAAACAGGATCACATAGTGAGCAGGATGACATTCCAGCCCTATCTAGCAGGCATCATAACAGACGTTTCAAAGTTACATCGCCTTCCCTGAGTGGGCAGTTCGCCCCTGTGGCTGAGATGATGGAGCGGATGTTTCTTGGCTTGCTGCAGTGATTTCTGGCTCATCATGGCTGGAATAGTTAGTCCTGTTGCCCTGGCAACAGGGACACATATCTTCATGCGCACCTCCAAGCACATTGCACCCTTCCAGACCTCCCCTGGCAAAATCACAGAAAAACATGCCATGCAGATTGATTAGCATTGCCGATGGAAGGTATTTTTGCTCAGGTGAATTGCCATACAGGGACTGTACCTGCAAGGGTGGGGTTGTTACACCCCCATCCTGCACATGTTACAGTGTCCCCCAATTTGCCAATCTGCCTGCATAGCAATTAGTCTTAGAAAAAAATCTGTCCAATGGGGTTCATAGGAGAATTTCCTAAACTTAGCAGTCATGCAAGGGAGACTTTCTCCCAATACGGAAAAAGGAATTACCTTCCTTTCCATGTGCCCCCGCATCAGCCCCCCACCAGCATGACAGCTCACCTCCCAGAGAAATTCAGCTGTGGGGCAGTATCGAAATGAAATGAATAACAATAACAGTCAACTTAGGAAGAAATAACCTTTCACTGATAGCAACAGAGAAATGCCTAGCGAGGCCCCAGCTGCAGAGTCCTTGTCCCAGAGTTGTTTCTAGTCTCCTAAAAGATCTGGGGAAGGTTACTCTGCAGTCAGCTGGAATCCTAGTGAGGAGGCTGGGCCGAGGAGCAAGGACTTAAGCAGGGGGACTTCTGTGTGCAATACCTGTGCTGTAATATCTGTTGTGCAGTTTTTCTGGTTCCATAAAATGTCTTAATGTTCTCCACTTCAAAGACTGTAGTCCTATGTTGTAGCATGTAGATTGTAGCATGCCCAGGGAGTCATGTGGCTAATGGGATGGGCTACAGAGCAAATAATAAATATTAAATACATGATCAGGAGAAATCAGGAGAACACGCTGGTACTTATTTTGGAATATGTTTATATTTTTTGGCTACTGAGCTTCCCAAGTTCGTTATCTTTCCACTGTGGCATTGTGCTGTGAATGGGGGGTTGGAACCTGGGCGTTCCAGGTTCAGGTCCCAATTTGGCTACAAAGCTCCCCGAGAGACTTTGGACTGGTCATTGATTCTCAACCTAACCTGCCTCAGAAGGTTATTTGGAGGATAAGGGAGAGGGTAAGTCACCTTGGCTTCCTTCCAGGAAAAACATCAGGCTGTAACTGCAATAAATAAATATGGTAAATCTCTCAGTGCACAATCCAATGCATATTAGACGGAAAAAAGTCCTAGAATTCCTAGCATTCCCCAGCCTGACTGGCAACGGGTGCAGCATGGGCTATAGGCATGTTGATGGAATTATGGGAGCTGTCGTTTATTTTATTTGTTTCTTTATTTATTTAAAGTTTTTATAAACTGTCCCTATACTAGTGTCTCAGGGCGGTTTACAGACAACACCTCTGGAGGGTACCAACTTGGAGAAGACTGTTCTGAAATAACCGAACTTTGCTGATGGACATTCCCAGGTCTCGGCCTTGAAAATGAATTTGAGGCACAATTTATGCATTTGGTATTGTTTGATATATTTTGGTTTAGATTGATTTAGGGTTTTTTGCTTGTGTCATTTATACCCTGCCTTTCTCAAAATCTTGGTGTTCAAAGAGACAAAATTGTTGTGCATCTAACTGGAAAAATGTTTTAGGAATGTGGAGACAGAGATGGCATGGGTTTTTTAAAGCATTTTAACTAATCCAATTCAGTTGTAGGGCAGCTCAGAAGGACAAATTTGAATCCCTTTTACTCAGATCAAGATGGATTGTTCTGTTGATTTTTTTTCAACAAAATGGTGAAATAAATAATCTCTTGCAGAAACCCAAATATGCAATATTCGGAAGCAAACCTAGAAACAGGGGGATTTGTTCCACTCCAGGTGGCGTTGCACTACAGCTGCCATCATCTCCAATGAATAGCAGCTAGTTGGGACTCATAGGAGTTAGAATTAAACAACATTTGAAGAGCTACGGCTTCCACACCCTTGGTTTCTTTTGCCATATTTCAGGTCTGAGAAGTTGGGGTAAATCTTAAATTCGTGGTGCAGATCTGTGGTTGTTTAATCAGATATTGGCTTTAATGAGTTCCAAAGTAAACATGCAAAAGAGACTTTGAGATTAATCAACAACAACAACAAAGCTGGAACTTGGAAAACCAGTTCACAAAACAATTTCCCTTGAATTACTGTATCAGTTTCACACAGTTTTGCTTGGATCGTTGCTTCTCTTCGGGTCTGATTTGGTGTCGGATTTGTGGTAGAGGCCTACATTTGTCTGTCCACAAGTAAATTCCATTGGAGTTCTGTGGAGCTTGCTCCTGAATAAATAGTTACAGAATTGCAGCCTGATCTCGGAGAGAAAGGAAGATGCAGCAAGAATTATTTCAAGCTCTTGCCAAATCACTGTTTGTACGGGCCTGGCAAGTGTATGCGCAGCAGCTGGATATGCCAGGGATGGTCACATGCCCTGGTGAGGAATTTACAAGACAGGGATCAGGTACCATATTTACCAGTGTGCTTTACTCTGTTTTTCATTTAAACAATTGGAGCAGAATGTACTGGGCTTCCATATTTGGGGATGATACACTTCCAAAGCAGGAAGAAGACTTTTATAGAAGCACAAGCACTTGCTACGGTTAATTCAGGTTGTTCCATGACCTCTGTCCCAGTCATTACAATCAAAGCACGTGATTACAGTTGAAGCGCATGCGAAGTATGAAATATGTACTCCCGTGCCCTTTCGCTCATCGATCCTGCTCCTCTTCCCCTAGTGCCTGGTTTTCAAACTCTTTCAGTCCAAAAGCCAAATTCAGTTTCAGAAATGCTCAGGGAGAAGCGGGGTGCATTCCTGTGGACGGAGCTCAAGGCAAAAGGGGCTTCAGCAAAGGTGGTGGGGCCCAAAACACAAGCATGTTTTAGCTTAAATCCATATGTTTTAGCTTGAGAAGTTAAGCTCGGTTTCTTTCTTTTCTTTTTGTGTCATTGTTCTGCAGCTGCTTGGAGCACTAGTCTGGATTTTAGTAGCTGCCACCAAAATCCCTTTGCCACTGCTACAAGGTTGGGTGATGTTTGTTTCTGTGACTGCCTGTTTCGCCTCCATCATCTTCCTCTGCGTGTTTCTCTTCAGTTATAGAGAGAGAATTGCCATTGACTGGAATCGTTTGGTAAGTATGTGCAAATACGGATGTATAAAAAACTGGATATAAGTGGATGTCATTGCAATGTCAACATGCTCCATAACTCTCATTTCATGAGATCTTTATACCTGATCCACACTTGCAGTCCCAGGCCCAGTTCACTAAAGGCTGAAACCAGCCCTCTGATATGCCGAGTTTAAGTCTTGGATGTAAGAAGTGGGAAAGTTGGGATTAATGCTGTAAAGCAAGGATGCAGAGCCTCCAGCTCATGGACTAAAAGTGCAGCCCCTTCATTTCCTACAGGGGAAGGGGCTTGTCCCACACACCTTGCACCTGGAAGCACCTCCACTGTTATTTCAGATCTCCTCCTAGCAACCAGCCAAGTGGAATCTGGTGATGCACCCGGTGCCATGGGAATGGCACATGCTGCAGAGAACCAGGGTCTCAACCAGCACCAGGTGGGGCAGGCACTCTTCCCAGCTCTGCCTGCCAGGTGAGGACAGTGACAGGTGCGCAAGGAAAGCCCCCGAGTTAGCAAGGACTGGAACAAGTTGCACAAGGCTAGTCTCTTTCATGGAGCCCTGTGCCTCTTTCATCAAGGAAGGTGGGAAAAGCACAGGAGCATAACGTCTGTGGGTCTGGTCTGCACAGGGCCTGGTAGGGGGAGCTTCCATCCCTGCCCCATGTTTCCTTAATGGATCCTTTTGCTTTTGATAATAGCTATCTAGTTTCAGTAAAAAGCCTTATCCTCAAATGGATGGCTGCTGCTCAGCTTGTTAGGACTAGGGGTTGGAAGGCTGAAACCACACCAGCACTGAAAGAATGGCTGGCTGTGGACAGTGATACTCTGGAACATGGCTGGCTAGCAGACAGCCTGCTGGGCCAGATTTAGCTGCTGATGCAGTTTTGTATAATTCGTGATAAGCTCCCCAAAAGCAAAGGCACAAAATGGCCCTTTGGAAAATCCATGCATCTAGAAACAGAGTTAGGGAGAAAAAATGATCTAACAACTATGAATATCATTTTATTTCATTTCTGTGCTGCTGATAGCCTAAGATTCCTAGGATGGTTCTCAAAAAAGCCAGGCTCTTTAATTGCAACATGTTAATAGCCATGTATAACACAGAGGTGAGATCAACACCTCTTTGGGCTGCAACGAGAGAATTTGTCTGATAGGCTTAGGTGGCTAAATAATATTATTTTGAAATGCATAGTTTTTAGAGCCCTGGGCCTACTCATGTTGCTATTTTTTATGTTATGTTACTGATAAATTTTGCAGCTAAAGATCCTGTACAAGAGCAGTGGGGAACCTCCTACCTGGAGACCAGGCACAGCTTGCAGGGATTCCCCATTCAGCCTTTGGTCTTTTTTCCTAGGGTAGCTGTTGATCAGAGAGCTCCTCCTTGCAGGGGAAAGAGAATGGGGCCTGGGGAGGATGCTGCTATGTGATTAAGTCCTGCTTACTTCTGAGACTGCTCCTGCAGAATCTTGCCTTGCTTACTTGAGGGTGAGCACAACGTTCTTGTGTCTTGCCGAGTTCACATGCAGAGGCCTAGTATTTGGGTGGTGAGGGCTGTGGAGTGATTCAGCTCTGCTAACTTGTGAGTAGATTTGCAAAAGCTTTGAGCCGCTTACTTTTGAGTAGGCTTAAAATAAATAATATATTTTATCCTTGCTCATTCCAGTTTTAGTTGCACTCACTTTACATTTGGCAACGCCAGTTGATGCAACACGCCTCCCTTCCCAACCTTTCCCAGGTTGGAATTCAGTCCCCAAGTTGAAAAAGATTCCCCACTCCTGCTCTACAGTGTGTATATCCTTTTTGCCCCCAGTGATCTGACCAAATGTGACTCAAACACAAAAGTGTTTTGAATGCAAAGTTTCACTTGGAAGGAAGTCCACATTGCCTTGAAGCATTATGAACATGGGCACTGGGGAGACTGGGGAAAGTGGTGAGGGCAGATGGAGCGGCTTTCAACACTGACCATAGTGTGTGTGTGTTCCAGAGAATGTTCAGAGTACAAACCTGAGGACAAAGGACATACGACTCCAGCAGGTGGGCAATTCCATTAATTTCAATGGAAACAAAACTGAGCTACATATAGCTTGTCAGTGCCTGGTCCTTCATGTTTGCACTTGCATATCTGCCTGCAAAGATGGTCGTCATCATGGTTTTTTTCTGTGCGCGCGCACGTGTGTGTGTTCCTTCAGTGTTGCTGTTGCAATTGTAGTTTGACATTTTGCTTGTCTGTTTGCGTATTCCCTTTTCTGTGGAATATTGTAAGGACTCAGAGACCTTGAAATAAGCTTACAATAAGCCCACTCTTGCTTGCACCAAAACACTGAGTCCTATGCCCTAACCCCTTACATTGCATATAAACATATAAATGTTTATATGAGTTGCATATAAACATTTCTAAATCTGTATCAAAATGGGATGTTCTGCCTTCATGTTTAAATGTCTAAGGCCATAGGTAGCTACTTTTTGCTTGTATACCCCAGATATTAAATGTTTATGGGCCCAATCTGCCTATTGTATAGTTTTGTTTCTTGTCCTAAGAACAGGAGTACTACCTTGAAGGACAAAAGCCAGATTACTTTTCTCCCCTGATCTAGGCCTGATCTAGACATCTCTGGGCAATCCATAAGCAGAGTGGGATGGTGTTGGGCATATATATTAAAGCTGTTATTGCCAGTAACTAAGCCTTAGAGTTACTGGAGACCAAGGCCAAGATCATCCACATCATTGTCTTCCTGATCACCATGGATGGGTGTGAAAGCTGGAGGGTGAAGGAAGCTGAGAGGAAGAAAATGGATGTGTGCAAAACACGGTGCTAGAGGAGAACTTTGCAAATACTGTGGACTGACAGAAAGATGAACAAGTGGGTCTTAGATCAAATCAAACCCAAACTTTCCCTAGGAAAGAAAAATGACAATACTGAGGCTGTCCTACTTTGGGCACATCATGAGAAGGTAACTCTCTGGAGAAGACAATCGTGCTAGCGAAAGTCAAAGGCAAAAGACAAAAAAAAAAAAAAAATGGAAGACCAAATATGAGATGGACTACTCCTTAAAGGAAGCCATGCCTTGAATTTCCAAGATTTGAACAATGGATAGGAGATTTTGGAGGGTTTTCATACATAGGGTTGCCATAAGTCACAGATGACTTGATGGCACATAACAACGACAACAGCAGCAACAGCAACAAGCTTTAGGAAAAATGTTATAGGATGGAGAGCGGTAATAGCACTAAAGCAAATGACTGGAGGTTGGGGGAGAGCATAAAACTGGGGGAAGCGGATTACATGGCTCAGGACCACAATTCCTAGTGGAGCATCTCTCTGGTGTGAACTTACCCTTACGCTATGTTGATCATCTCAGGCTGGCGGCAGCAAGGGAGAGGGTCTTTTTGGGGTCGGTGTCTCAAAGCTAGAATGATCTCCTTGATGAGGCCTGCCCTGGGAACTGGTGATGTCTGCCAATCTGGATGTCTTTAAAAGGGAACTGGGCAAATTCATGGAAGAGGAGGCTATCAATGGCTACTAGCCTTGCTAGCTATGTGTCACCTCCATTATTGGAGGCAGCATGCCTGCGTACACCAGTTGCTGAGGAGCATGGGTCGGTGGAACCTTTGTACCCGCCCTGCTTGAGGGATCATGTGGCTTTGCCACTTCATGAACTGAGTGCTGAACTGGAGCATTGATTGATTGGCTCTATTATTACTTTTCTCATTTCTTAACAAGATCAAACACTTCTTGCTGCTCAAGTTTCCTTGTTTCCATGGTACATTAAGATGGTTGCCCAAAAGAAGTCTCAGTTCTGTGGGCTAGAACAGCAGGGCTGATGTTAGTGTTCAGGAGGCCCGGACAAAACACCCTTGATGGTTCCCACATCAACAGCAATGGCAGGGTGACCCAGGGTTGATGAGGGTAGCGCTGCTGAAGGGAACATCAGGGCCATAAGTTTGGACTCACTGGAGTAGCTGCTATTTTAATTTCCCCAGAGTGCAATGTCCTTTTAGAAAGAATCCATAGCTCAGTAGGAGAGAACAGAGTTTGGATGAAGAATGTCCAGTTTTAGTCCTAAGCATCTTGAGGTAGGGCTGGAGAGCCACTCTCTATCTGTGTCAACAACCCTGAGTTAGATGGACTCAAGCAGCTTCATGTGGATGGATGGATTCCAGTTTTGACAGCTCTGTTCAAATTATTTCCCGGCTTTGGCTGTATTTAAAAAACACTGTGGCTTATAAAGCAGTAATAAATTGAGAGCTTAGCATCCTGTCTAAACTTCCTGTGCCCCTGGAGCAAAAATCTTGCATTTACAAAAATCTTGGCCTTTGCTTCTGCTGGTGACAGAGAACTTCATTGTAATTGATGCCAAGGAGGAGAAGAAGTTCCAGGGTAGGGCAACAGGATGAGGAAATGAGATCATCTCCTTCTGAAGTCCTGGGCACACTGTGCTACTCATAAGGACATGTATGCTCGCCTTCATCTGCAAAGGTGCCAGAAATTTGGGGGAAAGGGTTGTACAGTAGACATCTAACCACCTCAAACACGAAGGGTGGTCCTTCACCCGTGTTTGTTACAATCTGCTTATTATGCTGCATTTTTACGGTACCTGCCCTTTTTGCGAAGTGTCCTGGCTTCCCTAGGAGCTATTGGGCTTCTGTTCATCTGCTCTGGCAATATTTTAGCAGAATGTACAAATTCTTTGGGGGTTATGAGGAGGGGAGCCCCATGAATTGCAAGGATGCTTGAGACTGCACACAGTCTCCTTTAGACTTCACACAGCCACACTGCTCACACTGGGCCTAGATCCCAGGTGGTGATGGCCAGTAGATGTTGATGCAGAGCAGATCTGGCTCCCCAGAGCAACATTATCCCCTGAGCATGGCACTTTGCTACTTTCTACTTAACAGAGAATAGAACGACAGTCATTTTCTCAAATATCTGTAGGGACCGACCTGAGGTCCGGCTCCATGCAATGGAAATCTCACCAACACGCATCTGCACCACACTGACCCTGATGACTTTTATGGAAGGGAGTACGGGACACGATATCATTACATTTAACATTTCCCTGTGGCAATATTTGGTTGCTGCCTGCAGGGGCCAGAGGAGCCCTGAGTACAGCGGCAACTATCAGGTGTCCCTTTTCCTAAAGTCAGGCATGGGTTGGCAACAGCCATGCTTCCCCTGTAATATCAACTTAGATCCTAAGACTCTTTTAGTTTCTCCCACTTAAGGGAGTAGCTGCCATTCAGGTTTCTAACATCTAGGTCACCCCTGCTCCACTGGGGTGAGCATCCCTGAAAAATGCTCAGCTGGGAGTATCTGGAAGTGGGGTTCCTAACATTTTTAGGCTGTTTGTAACCATGATCCAAATTGTTCCCAGCAAAAATCAGATTTTTGCCCTGTAGAATCTAATGTCATGAATTGTTCTGTTTCTTGATAATACTAGAATGGAATAGAAAACCAGAAACTGGCTTTTAAACATATTTGAATGGGCATGTCTTCATTACCATGGCCAAAACTTTTGTTCAAGGATGGCTTCATAGACACACCAGGAAAATTCCATATTAGGAACTTGCACCCAGGACCAGCCAGGAAAGGTTTTCAAATGGAGGGTTCCAAGCACCAAGACATTGTGCAGCTATCCCATCTCTTCCTTAGCAGGTCTTTTTATTACTTTTATGTATGTATGTATGTATGAATGTATTTTGGTAAGGGAAAAGATGGAAGAGACAATGTGAAACACCAGTGGGCTACACATTAAAGACAATGCTGATTGGAGATACTACAGGTGCATGTAACATTCCATGAATGAGGACAAAATGTACAATATAAAGCTTTGGAAGCACCCTAAGTCAAAGCATCCTTAGGACATCACAGCAGACTTGAGAAAATGCATTTGAGTGCATGTAGTGCGACACAGCCTTCTCCAACTGCAGTCTGGGTGCGTTAGAGTGCAACTCCCATCATCCCCATCCAGGATAGGAGTGGTTGTTCAACTTGTCCAGGGTGCCCCAGGTTGGCAAAGGCTGATGTACTGGATTAGATTCTTGGAATCTGCCAAGGAGGCCTGGTTAGATGCCCACTCAGCCAGAAAGAGCACCAGGCGGCCCGGGGCATGTCTCTCACCACAGCTCATCCCTAGTGCATGGGGTTGTTGAATGTGTAACCCATGGCAAGCCGATGTCACAGATGAAGGGCACGGGCGCTGCAACGTTTAAGGTGGTTGATAGAGACACTGGTTGTAAATTTCGTGAGATGCGTAGATGCTGCTACTACTGAGTTTAGGGTTAATGAGAATTTACAGTTTCAAAATATGTCTTGTTTGGATCTGTTTTTGGTTTGGGAATCTCTCCTGTGGATGTGTAAGGATATTTTAGGGTTAGGGTAAGATGTCATATAAAATACATTGTATATGTATATTTTTAAATGTGTTGATTCTTTTCTTCTTATTTTCTTCCTCATTGTGTTGGATTCAAATGGAAATTACCACCCTGAAATGCCATTTTGAAGTTATATATGTCCATAACCATCATAGCAATCCTGTTCTTTTGGCAATTAATTCTGCAGGTGTATTCTGTAATTTATATGTGAATTCTTCTTTCTTTGCACAGTGGTTTTACAGTTGTTGGTTTAGGTGGCCAGGAGTTGTACTTTTGCTGGCTGCTAAAGCTTGTAAATGTGCCATTTATATCGGCTCAAACTAACCCTGTGTTTCCTTTTACTCTCCAGGATTTTCTTTACCATGCAGCTATCTTCGTCTTCTACTTTGGAACCTTTCTACTGCAAGCAGCCACAACCTCTTTGCACAGCCATCCATTCAGGATGAAAGTCAGTCCCCTGAACAACTGCACCATTGTGGAACCACTTCTAAGTAATCATGAATATAATTTGAGCATAGCAGCTTCTGTAAGTATTTCTTAGGTGCATCTGTGCTTTGCCAGGTTCCAATAATTCTGGTTGATGGTCAGCAAGAACTCTCTCTTCTTTCTGTTTGGTTCTGGTCTGCCTTTCTACACTAGCCAGACCACAAGAGGGAGATCAGAGGGGAGAGTGGGTGACTTGCACAAGGGCCGTGGCTGTAGCTTAGTGGTACATTCATGCTTTGAATGCAGAACTTCTTGTGTTCAGACCCTGACTTCTCCTGGTGAAGCTAGATCCTGCCCAAAGCTGTGAAGGAGCTGCTGCCAGTCAGTGTTGACAATTGGGGTGGGATAGACCCACAATAAGGCAGTCTCCTATGAGCCTAGGTCAGTGATGGCAAAATTTTTAGAGACCGAGTGCCCAAACTGCAACCCAAACCCCACTTATTTATCGCAAACTGCCAACACTGCAATAAAACCTGGAACTGAGGTTTTCATTTAGAAAAAACACCTCATAGCCAGTCCAACCAAATATATATCTATATCCTTGACAGTGCACTGACCAGCCATGCAAACATTTGGATGAGTCGTGGCTAATGAGTCGTGGCTTGTGACAACATCACCCCGCACCGCTTCTGCTTTCGAGCATGCCTGTGGCCCATATGTGCGCTATTACACAATGCTCGGCTGCTGGGGAGAAGCTGGGATGACTTGATCCGCATGCCGACAGAGAGGGCTCTGCTTGCCCTCCGTGGCACATGCCATAGGCTCACCACCATTGGCCTAACCCTAAGCTAGTGCACTCCCCTGCCCCTATAGGAGTAAAATACCGTAGAAAAGAGGGCAATTTTGAAAAAGCCTTCCTTGAGTAGCTTTTTCTGCACAGCATATCATTTCTGCCCATTCTAAACACATTCCAACCATCAAAACCATGCCAGGACACCTTGTGTTTCTAACCCTAACCCTGCCTTGGTGCACACCCCTAACCCTAATGTAGGGGTAAAATACCATTGACAATAATGCGATTTTGGAAAAAGCCTTCCTTGAGTAGCTTTTTCTGCACAGCTCATTCCTGCCCACTCTCAACACATTCCAACCATCAAAACCATGCCAGGACACCTCGCTTTTCTAACCCTAACCCTACACTGGTGCACACCCATAACCCTAATGTAGGGGTCAAGTTCCATTGAAAAGAGGGCGATTTTGAAAAAGCCTTCCTTGAGTAGCTTTTTCTGCACAGCTCATCATTTCTGCCCATGCTAAACACATTCCAGCCATCAAAATCATACCAGGATACCCTGTTTTTCTAAGCCTAACCCAGTGATGGTGAACCTTTTAGAGACCGAGTGCCCAAACTGCAACCCAAAACCCATTTATTTTTCGCAAAGTGCCAACACTACAATCAAACCTGAAAACTGAGGTTTTAGTTTAGAAAAAACAACTCATAGCCAGTCCAAGCAAATTGGCAGCACACTGACCGGCCATGCGAAAGCTCGGATGAGTTGCGGCTAATGAGTCACGGCTCATGATGTAATCGACTGGCACTTCTACTCCTTTCCGAGCATGCGCATGGCCCCTATGTGCGCTGTTATTCAATGCTTGGCTGCTGGGGTGATGCTGGGGTGACTTGGCTCGCGTGCTGACAGAGAGGGCTCTGTGTGCCCCCTGTGGCACGCATCTCATAGGTTCGCCACCACTCTCCTAGGTCAACCTGTGGTGGAGTTACAGGACCCTGGATAGTTCCATGTTATACCACTTGCTCCAAAGTCTGGAAGTCAACTGAAGTTGTTCTGCCACCTCCTCCTCTTCTTCCTTCTTGGCATGGATTCCCATTTTCTGGGGCGGGGAGCGGGGTGACACTTCTGGAATTTTGAGAGTCATGGACACTCATTAAATGGCTGCCATAGGTGGCTTGCCCATTCATGAAAGAGCTGCCATGGTAGGAATTGTTGGGCCATTGTAGTCTTCTCCAGGAAAGTCACTGGTTGCTACAGCCTGTGCCCCATCAGCAGTGTTCCAACTGCTTGGTGGGTTATCAAGCAGTGATCCCTGCCCTTTTATGACAGCCCCTATTGTTCCCTATTGATTTCAGGAACATAAGAAGCTGCCTTTAAGCCTTTAGCCCAGTGTTTCCTAATCTGATGCCCTCTAGAGGTTTTGGAGTTCAGTTACCCATCAGCCTTGGCCAGCATGGTCAGTTGTAAGGGATGGTAGGAGTTGTACTCCAACACATCCAGAGAGCAGCAGGTTGGGGACAGCTAATGGAGCCCAACACTGTCAGTAGCTGCTGCTGTTGCTACTGTCTCATCATTCTCCTTGTCTACCACCTCTGTAGAGCTTTGGGTGGGGCGTATGGTTTGACCTTTTATCCTTATGACAATGCTGCAAGGTAGGCCAGGCTGAGATGTGGTGACTGGTCCACAGTCACTGAGCTTTATGGCTGAGCAGGATTTGAACATGGGTCTCCCCATTCCTACTGCAACAGGCCAACTACTGCATCGCATAGGTTCAAATTGTGTGCGAGGAGCTCTGCCTGTGATTCCAGGAGGGACTCTGTTGCCACATAGGTGTAACCACTTCTCCTCTACCTCCTACTTGTGGCTCTCCAGACATTTTGGTCAGTAAACTCCCATCAGCCCTTGCCAGCTTAGCCAATGCTGGAGGGTTATGGGAGCTGTAGGCCATAACATTGGGAAGCCACAAGTTAATCACTCCTAATCAGCTTGCACATGAGCAAAGAAAGTAACTTATGAAATTGCAGTGTACGTGGTCATCTGAACTAACAAAGGGACACCACCCCTTTGGCAGGGTGACCACATGGAGAACTGGAGAGTATACAAGACAATTATGCCATGACAATTGCCGTCTATGCAGGGTGGGGTTGGGTGGGATGGGGAGGCTAAAAGTAGCCTCGCTTAAAAGTGATCTTGCCTTTTATTTCCCTTTAGATTTTTGCATTTGCAACAACCGTGTGTTATGGATGCAGCACAACTCTTGCTTTAAGAAGGTGGAAACTATAGCACCGGAGAAAGACAGCTCCAAAGTTTCCCGTGGGCTTTATGTACCTGTTCCATTGATCAAATGGTGTACAATGTGTCCATCAAATAAGAACAGTTTCAAAGATTATTTAGAATACATTTATATTTTTCTAAAATATTGATACACGCACAAAAAGTTCATTTTTTAAAAAGCTAGGGTTGCAGTGGAAGGGAATTTTAAAGCTGTATCAAAAATGCCATCCCACTTTCATGGCCCTGTTTGCAGGCCACAGAGCACAGGGAACATTTCTGGCCAAGTTCTTGGGGGCAGGATAAATACTTAGATTTTGGAGGGGCTTCCTTTCACACATGGCGGCAACAGGAGCAGAGGCTTTTGCATGCCCTTTCTTTTTTTAAGAAATAGCTCACAGCTATTTGCAGCTGTCTTATTTTTCTCCCACAATGCCCCTGAAATGATGCCGTATCATGCTGTAGCATCCTTCCAGATGCATTATGGGAGAGTATGGCAGCCCACAGAGACACCAGTTCTCAACCCAACGCAAATGGCTTCCATTATTGTACCACATGTCAACATTTCTTCTGCCCCTTACACCTCTCCATTTTGATTTTTCTTTCATTCTTGTTTATATTATTCTTTCATGATAGAAAAAAATGCTGCGCTGAAAATTTTAGCCTAGTATTAAGTTTATTTATTTCTCCAGTTTTCAGCTGCTTACAATGATTGATCCACTAGGAGCATTATCCTCTGTTACAAATAGTATTATAAAGTTGCATGATGAATAGAGCTTTTCTTCACAGACAGTTGAATTTTTGGTGCTAAACAATGGCTGGCAGAAGAAATAAAACTCTCGGCAGATGTTTTGTCTGTCTCATATATGCAGGTGCAGGAAGGCAGCTGTAAAACTACAGTGCTTCTGGCTGAATGTGAACGGTTTGCAACCCATCCAACACAGCTCCTGAGTACTCTATTAAATTTGGTGGGGATTGTATGGAAGTAGGGTTGCTAAGACCCAGGATCTTGCCCTGACTCAGGTTTGAGGATTCAAATTCTAGACGAAAGGGTGGCAAGTTTAAGTCTCAGGGCCATCAGCTGGTCTCAGATAACTGCCTTTGGAATTTTAGGAACATGGCAAGCTGCCTTCCACTGGATCAGACCTTGGTCCATCTAGCTCAGTACTGTTTACATGGCTGGCAGCACAGCTCAGCCTTTCATGCAGGATTTTCTTTTGTGGGGGACAGCCCTACCCAAAGAAGCTGGAGATTAACTTTCTGCATGCAAGAAAAGAATATTCTCCATCCCTGAGCTACAGTTCCTCCCTTCTTGGGTCTAGGATTTTGCATTAGAGTTTCTTTTAAATGCTAGAAACAATTCACTCATCACAAAGAAAATTTTGCACAAGTTCTTCTATTCCCAGATCCCTTCTTCCCAGGGGATTTCTTGAGTTTTTCAATTGGAAAAATTGGGGGATTCCCTCCTCCCCATTAAGCGTTCTTCTTGAGTTTTTTCAATTTCCCTGACCTTCATAACTCTGTTTCTACCTTTCTAATGCTCAGTCACATCTCTTAGCCTGCCATATCATATTTTGTCCTTTCTGAACCAACAGCCCAAGAGGCTCCCACATGCTCCTATTGACATGACTAGAAAAAGCATATTAATGGTGATTTGGGTGGCTTTCTCCTCCTCCTCCTAAAGCTCTTGAGCTAATGTCTATGGAGGGAAGGCTACAAGTTCATATAACAGAAATCTAAATGTAATTATTTGGGAAGGTTAGCTTTCCATTTTGAAAGAAGTAATTTATGGAAGAGGGGAAAGTGTTTAATATTTATCAGTACATATAAATATCTAGTTAGTAAGCTGTGTACTTTCCATCCATATACATCAGAACACTTTTATGGAAGAGGTAATTATTACTGCCTGCAGGGGAAAGAGATAAGAGAAATATATCCATTAGCAGAGAACAGTGTGCCTTCCTCACAGTTTCAAAATAAAAAGCTGGAACTGTGAATGCTGGAGAAATAGAAGGAAAGGCTTCTTCACACAACACATAGTTCATCTGTCAAGTTCATCTTCACAAGATGGAGTGATGGTTACCAGTTTGAATGGCTGTAAAATGATTGGACAAATTCCTGGAGGAAGAAGTTATCCACAACTGCTATTCCTGGTGGCTGCACACTACCTCCAGTACCAGAGGCAAGGATGCTGAGGTACACCTGTTGCTGGGGAACATGAGCCGAAGGGTGACGTGCGACTCGCATCCTGCAGATGGGCTTCCCATGGGTAGCTGGTTGGCCCATGTGAGAACAGCATGCTGGGCTGGATGGGCTTTGGTGAGATCCAACAAGGCTCTTCTTAGGGTCTATAACCGTTAGAGCTGAAATAGTTTGGTTATAGAGCTAGCTAATCACACAACTGCAGGTTTTATCAATCTTTAATCGGAGCAGTATGCTGGAAGCATTTGCCCAGGGTTATAAGCCAGGAGTGTCAGAACTCTTCCAGCCCTAGACCTGAATTCAGTATCAGGGAAGTGCTGAAGGGACACATTCCAGTGGTAGCTAGAGCTAGAGAAAAATGAGTAGAGCCACTGGGGAGCCCTGGAGGATTCAACTGAAGCTCTAGGTTGACAGGCTACAGGTCCAGATTGCCCCAAGGGACTCTTTTAATCCTCCGTTATACCTCTGGATGCCAACATTTTATGCCCCCTTTGAAATCTGTTGTCTGTGATATATTCAAGATAAAATCATATGTTGAATATTATATCGGTCATTGATCAGTTAACAAAATGAATGGACTGCCCAGCAATTGTACATCATATTTCTAGCAGTATGAATCTTATTGCAACGTTCCATGTTTTGCAAGCAAGATTTGCATGTGCACGCATCCGCACGTGTGTGTGTGTGTGTACGCAATGTATACCTGTGCCAATGTCTATTAACTTGGACTCATTTTCCAATTTATCTTGTATTTCCTGCACTTATCAAAGCTAGTTTTGCTATTTGAAGCTGACAATGTCATAGGTGATCAGTTTTGTTTTAGTGAATATATTTATATTACAGAACTTCTCTAATACATTTGTGTTCTGAGTGTGACAGTGTCGGTTTGTGGTGAATGTTGTGCAGATGAGCTGCCTCTAAACATACATATTTGCACTGTTTTATATTTGAGGGTGTAATTACTTATATCAAGTGCTCACAGGTCAGTATTGCATGTGTACTTTGTTCTAATACAACTTCCTGAAATATTTGTGAGTGGAAGATAATCCAGTGTATCTGATCTGACTCCTTGTAAGGCCTTACTTAGTTGCATTGGGAAGCTATTTCTAGTGATAGGAACTATTCCTTTCTTTGGGCTCTGGAATTAGGGGGTTGGTGGTTCTCCATAAGAATGCAGGCCAGGCATAGGAGACTGCACAAGATTCCAGGCATATGTTGAGTTCAGGCAACATGCTAACCCACACCCAAGGGTTCAGTGTAGTTGTCCTTGAACCATGGGTTATTATTGAAATGTGAGTTATCTCATTGCCTGAGCCCAACAACACTAACAAGCCATAGATTATGAACCAGAAACAACCTATGAAGAAGGCTCCCTGTCTGTTTTGGGGTTGTGAACGGTGGGTTGTTCACCATGGTTTGTTACCTAAGCTGGGTTCAGACAACATATTAATGCACATTTCAACAGCAACTCATGATTCAATGGCAGACCCTTGAATGTGGGTTATTATGCTGCTGAACCCAGTCATTGGAATGAAACTTTGAGGCAAAGGCTGCTGAGCAGTGATTCCTGACCTCTTGAATTCCCTTACAAAGAGATCACATGAAGAACTGGTTGTTGGGATAATACACGAGTAACGATTTTGATTACTGTTGGCCAACTCCATGAAAGAAAAGTTAGGACCTCAAACACACAGAAAACAGGCTAAATAAGATTTGTTCTTACAACCTTGCAGCTAAAATTGACAGCCAGGTTCAAGTTTACCTTACCTCACATTTGAAGCTAAGTGGTAAGATTTTTGTCTGAGCAGAGTTGTGAGGTCAGTGAGTTCCTATTCTGTTTTCAGGCATGTACATTTGTAGGTGTATTAGCATAAATATTGTTGAAACCTTTCCAAGTGAGTCTCAAGTAACCCATTACAGGTAAGAAATGCCATGCTTCTCAGGACCCCAAAAGTAAACAAAACATAGTTCTTCATCTCTCCAAGTTAGAGTTGGGAAGTGTATGGGTCTGAAAAAGTTTTTGCCCACAGCAATCACTATTGGCTTATGCCGGCTAGGGCTGATGTTTTGTAGGCTAAAACATCTGGAGGACCACAGATTGCCCAGCCCTGATTTAGGCAATGAAAGGTATTCTTCAAAGCTACTTATAGGAATCAAGACTCACTGAGCATTGTGGACTTTACTTATGAGTAAAGATATGCAAGATTTTCATTTGTACTCAAGGTTTCTTAAACAAGTAGAGTGCGATCAGTTCTTCTACCTATTGTTTAACATGCAATATATTATTAAAATATGAGGAAGCATTATTTTATGCAATGATATACTCAGATGTGAGGCTATAAAAATACAGGGATCAAATAGCCACAGCACGAAATAGGAGCCACAGCCTATATGGTCCAAAAATCAGTCTGAACCTAGTTTTGTCATTGTATTCATTTGTGATATTTTCAGGGATCATCAAATAGGAGAGGAACTTGCAGCCCTTCCACTGTTGGATTCAGAGTCCCATCAAACCCATGCAGTGTGGTTGGTGGTCCTGGGGGTGATGGAAGCCCTGTGGTCCACCTGTAACCTCAAACATGACTTGTTGGAAGGGGTGAAGGCTCCCCTGGTGGTAATGTGGGGAACTGCTGTACTCTCAGTCAGTCCACTTGACATATAGCCCAGTATCGTTGACACTGGCTGGCAGCAATGGCTCGCCAGCATTTCAGGCAAAATCCTCTGCTAGCCCTACGTGGAGATGAGCCTGGGATCTTCTGCATGCAAGGAAGATGCTGTGGCACTGAGCTGCAGATTTCCCCGCCCAGTTTAGTTCTGAGTGCCCACGTTCCACCTTAAGGAGTCTTGAGTTTCCCTCCTGCTGATGGTGCATGCACATGAATCCTCAGTAGGTTTACAATTTCCATCCATCTTTCCTGTGTTAGGGGTCATTTGAAATGCATGTATTCCATCTGAAGCACTTTATAAATCCGCCTCTCAGCATTTTATTTTCCACCTGAGAATGTCTTTTGTCATACCTTCAACATTCCTCTTGGGAGGAAGAAAAGGGTGCTTCATCTGTTGCCTTTAACAAGTGTGGCAGAGCTCCTGTTTCTGGATGCGACTGCCTATGTGAAGTAATCCTGATAAGACTGGGGAATTCTTTGTGATTTAATTCCACCAGAACTACAGGCCTAAGCTATAGATTACAAATGTTTGTGTGTACAGAGAAACTAAAAACCAGAAACGTTAATGACCCCCATTTTGCTTGGGAAGGAGCAGGTCTTTCACCATCCCTTGGTAGTGGATGCAGCAGAATGCAGGGATGGATACAGACCATAATAAGATTCCACAGCAGCTCTGCACACTGTCTCCCGTGTTGGCCTGCCCAAAGCAGAACAAGTCCTGAGGATGGTTCGTAGCATAGAAATATAAGAACTGCATGGAGTCAAACCTGAGGATGATTCTTAGCATAGGAATATAAGAACTGCATGGAATCAAACCATAGTTCTTTCTAGTTCTACAATATATTCCCATCAAGGTCAACCAGAAACTGCTGGGAAGCCAATGGGCATCAGATAAGCACAGCAGCACTCTCTTGCTTAAGTTCCCCAGTAACTGATATTTAGAGGTGTGAGGACTCTGAAACTGGACTTAATTCAGAGCCATACTGATCTCTTTTTCTCCCTAACAAGGAAAATTATTCTAGGTGTAAACAGTTCTGGCCTGTGAATGGAGAATGTGTTGTGACTCATTGTAAGCGGGAATTCATCTACCCTGGCACACACCCTTCAGCTTAACTGACAGAAACTTGATTGAAGCAGAGACAAGGATCTTGTCAAACTCCCTATTCCAGCCTCTCAAAGTGCTGGCATTAGATCTGTGCCAAGTACACTTTGGCTTCCTCCGAGATAATCAGCTGCAGTTGCTGATCTCAGAAAAGTGCAATATGGCCTGGAGAGATGGCTTAGATTTACTTGTGCCTCACTGATGCCTTACAGAAAGGGAAACGGCATGCCTTCTCCCTCCTTCCTTGATTCCCTTATTTATTTTTACGATATTTGTACATCGGAACAGTTTCCAGGGCTATGAACAATAAAAAGAGTACATAATAAAACTCCATGGTAAAACAGAAAAAAGAATAAGTTATTTATTAAAAACAGCATACAAGCTGGCCAAGCAAGGAAGGCTTTCTGAAATAGAGCATTTTTCAGCAGACACGAAAATAAGATAGAACTGCAGCCACTACACTGAAGAGTCTGATAGTTGGACCATAGGTCCATATGGAACCATCATGAGCATGTCCTCCAGTGACCTCAGGATGGTAAGGGAGAAGTGGCTTTCTCAACTCTTCCTTTCCTCCTCTCTATGTGTTTTTCCAAGGAATCAACATACAAGCCTTCTTCGGGGAAGTGGAATTGGTCAAGGTGAGAAGACAGCCATGCCCAGAAGCTGCAGTATCTTGGGACATGCGCAGAAAACAGATTTGAGACAAATGCTCATTGCCATGTCTCAGTGCTATGGGGAAAGGGGCACCAAAAGATTCAAAATCCCTGCTGCCGTCTGCCTCCAAGCATCCTGGGACAACAGGGGGTTGAGTACCATCAGAATCCCGTGGCTCCGTTCCAGGCCTGCTGTGGCATTAGCCCAGATTCACACCAGGCTTTAAAAACATGTGACTGGCTATATTCAAGAAGCACATGTCGCAACCACTAAGAGTGCAATGCTACGCATGTTGGGCAGGAAAAAGTCCTACAGCTCCAAGCAGTCCCTAGCCAGTGTGTGTGCAGAACCTCAGAATTCCCCCGTAAGATGGGGTGGAGAACATCAGACCTGGGGGACTAAATCGTGCGCTCACCTACTCTCCCTGACCATCAATCACTTGGTGATGTCCTGGCTTTGAAGGAAAGGTTGAAAGGTTTGGTTACTATCAGGGAGTGTTCGGACATGCTGATATTTTGTGGTGGCCTGTCCCTTTTGCCTTCAACCCTACCCACTTCTGGAATGTGGCTCCTGGGAGTGTCTTCAAAGTGGAATTTGGCCCTTGAACTGAAAGAGTTTTGACACTCCTGTTTGAATGCATCATAATAACTCTAGCAAAGTTATAGGCATGACTCAGCCTTTTTCCTCTTTTTTCAAAGCAAAGGGATCTGTGTTTTGGCGTGCCTGCAAGGTACATCATACACCTGCCAGATAGCATATTTACCATCAGACAGCTGCCAAGTTCCTTCTGACTCTCCATCCTCACCCCTACTCTTTGAAGAGCCTGGAACCTGGACTGTATCACCAGCCCTGATGACTACTCACAACCAACACATCCAGGTTCCTAGTTAGTTGCATTTTTCCTAAATTCCAGTGGCAAGCCTCCTTGGGAATCCATCTTGGCTGGAAGGCATGGTATAAATATAATTAATAAATGTATACACCATGTGTTGATAGCAGAGCCAAACCAAGCAGAGCCAAACCAAGCAATATGAGAAATGCATGATTGCATTATATACCCTTATATCTATCCATTCAGCTGTCCATCTGTCTGTGTCTCCATCAATATTAGTACCAAATTCTAATGGGAATTAGAACCCCAGTTCAGATCAGGTCAGTGGGATGGGGAAGGTGTCTGAGCCCTTGCATGCCATTTTCCTGAATGAACATCACATCCACCCCTCACTCAATCCCAGAAGGTTTTTTTGTTTCAGGGAGGAAAATGCTATGTGGAAAAATAGCGACTTTCTTTGTACTCTTTGCCCACTGTGCACCACTACCTCCAACACATGCAGCTCAAAGGAAGAAAAGATAGGGCTGAGGATTGGGGAGACACTGCTGCCCATGCAAGGGCATTCTTGGCCAGAACATGTTGCACCACTGGACTCCTTGGAATCCAATGCAGAACACACAGTGCAATTGCCATCAACCTCTATCCTATGCTGTAGAAGCAAATGGCTTGAAGAAGGGCTAGG